GTTGAAAACAGCAAAGAAGACGACAGGAAGTCGTAGGAGGAGGATGCTTTGTTTTTGTTTTTTCAGACAATGTGCAGCAAAAGTTATGCTGGAGCATCATTTAGCCGAAGCAGCAAGTCATCCGACCACATTGTGGTTGGACGGCACAAACGCAAGAGTGTAATGGTGTCTTAGGTCAAAGTCAAAGTGAATTAAACTGTTTTTTTCTGGTTGTGACCAGTTGGAGTTCAATGTGAACCCTGAAACTTGTTTAAGTCCATTTAAACTTAGTAAAATATTTAAATATTTGACTAAAACCAAACAGTTTGATCTAAAATTGAGACTTTAACAATTTAAATCAGGCGAGTTTCTCAATTTTCATATTTATTTTATCTCAGCTTGGAATTAATTTACACGTAAAGTGTGTATTTGTGTTTCGTTATTAATTTTGTTCATATGAACTTGTCACTATAATTTGTGTGTTGTGATGTTGCAGGTAAAGCTCCTCATTTCCTGCGGCTGCAAAATGTGGAGGTGAACGTGGGACAAAATGCCACGTTCCAGTGCACTGCTGGAGGGAAATGGTCTCAGCATGATAAACTCTGGCTGCAGGTTTGTACCATCCATTACCGGGTTATAATATCCTACATAATATTGTCTCAATTTCAATTCAGACATATATCCCAATTGATTCTAGTTATCAAACAGTACAGTATGCATTGTGATGTTAACTTTCATACCAAGCACGCAGCAACAGTGGAGAGGAAAACAAGCCAGAACAAACAAGAAGATGATTTTTAGTGTTCATGAGAGTCAAATGTTAACAGCAGAAGAGGGAGAACAAGAGGCTCAGACCAGCCGAACCGAACGCCAGACCAGCTGTAGCTTTTATGGAGAGAAAATGACAAACAAACCAAATCCTACAGCACATCTGCATGGTAGGATTGTCAAAGTCAAGCTAGCATAACTGACCTAGTTCCGTCTCCCTCAATATTTTTTATTTTTTCAACTTCTCATGTGAAGCCATAGAGCTTATTGGTTATTTGCTAAAACTGTTCACATTTAATGGCAAAGTACTGTGTTCCTTTTTCTTTTATATATCACACATACATTTAAGATTTATTGCTTTATGTTGAAAATTTGATAGCAAAAACAAACGGTAGTCATCATCAGCCTCACGTTACAACGTGTCTATGTTGTAATTCAGTCCAATTCACTCTGGTTTTCTACAGGCTAATAATTTAATCTTAACCTGCAGTACTAATTTATATGTGTTACAGAAACCAAGCTCTTTTACTTGTTGTAGATTGGAAGTTGACTCAGTTTAATCCCTTTTAATTCAAATGTTCTTCGTCATTAGATTGGCACAAAACTACATAAAATCAGTTTCATGTTAAACCTCCAGGTCTCTGAGCTCCATTTTGTGAACTGATTAAACTGAATCTTGGTTCTGTTTTGCACCAGTGATTCCATTTCTGCACCATTGACATTTCTCACGCGTGTTTGTCAACATGTTCATGCTGCATGTCATCATGGCAATGTATTAATTTCAGTCTACATTCATGTGCAAGTTTGCATTATTGTTACAGTAGAACATAAAACCCGGGAGATTACTGGAGGGTAAAGTAATGTCATGTGGAAGTGGGAGTGTTAACTCTCCCAGCTGAGGGTCTGTTGGGGGAAAAAGCATCGTTTCCTGAACGGTCCGTCAGGATTGTAGTCGAGAGATTTAATCTGCAGATTGCATGCAGAAAGTGGTTTTTTTTTTTAGTTTTCAGGTTGACATCCTCAGAAAATTGATTCTTTGTTTTCATTTCATGATGTACATATTCTGTAGATTCATGGATTGTTTCAGTAAAACCATACAGGCTGGAGAGTAACACTGATAGAACATCAGTTATTTTACCAAATATAAACAGTTGCACTATAAATCCAGTAAATATTCGTACATTAACATGGAAAACAAGTGGAACACCAACAACAACAAGTATAATTTCCCATCTTTCAGCAGTGGAACGGAAAAGATACGGCGCTGATGGTGACCAGGGTGGTCAACCACCGCCGCTTCTCTGCGACGGTGAGCGTTGGTGACACGTCGCAGCGGAGCACCAGCCGCTACCGCTGCGTCATCCGATCTGGCGGATCCGGAGTTTCCAACTACGCCGACTTGATCGTTAAAGGTACGTAAATGTGACCGCAGAGGTTGGGGTGAAATAAAAGGCATGGAAAGACGGCAGAGATTCACACACTTCATTACTATGTATGCTGCAAAGTGGGACTGTTTCTTCTGGAGGTGTGAAACAAGCCCTGGTTGTTTGTGTCGATGTGTGCATGTTTGGCTGTGGCCCATTAGAGCTGCGAGGGAGCTGAGGATGGAATACTGAAAAGATTTCCAGAAAGTGGGAACCCACAATGACTCCTCTCTGTTCATGTTTTGATCTGTTTTTCACTCAAGCTGTGTAGAAAATCCAAACATTTTAGATGTCTATGAAAAAACTATTTTTGCCTCAACCATTACACAAATGCACCTTTTTTGCTATTCAGAAAGATAAGCAGTACTTTATTCCACCAGAAGGCCTGTGTCAAATAAATCCTGATAAACTATTTGACTTTTAATGTTGGAAATCTTTACATTCAACCACAAATATAAGTTATTTTAATGTTCATTACATTAGAAGCTCAATATTCAATCCCAAAACTATTCATGCCTCCTTCAGATGTGTATTAGGTTTAAATAGTTAACTAACTTTACCGACATGTTTCTTCTGGTTGGAAGTAACTTGATTCTATAAAGGGAGCTAAAGATTCGGTGACGTTCAGGCGAATGTGACGCAAATCCAACTTTTTTCACAGCGGTCTGATTGGACCAATTCTGATCTTTTCACCAAAAAGAAAATCTGATTTGTCCCACTTTCACATGTGTAGCTAAATCAAATATCTAATTGTCTTCAGAGCATCTGGAGTCTGATTAGTTATGTATGATGTTATCCAGCTTTTATGTTGTTGATGTGAGACGGAGATCATAATTCTGCACCAGAAGAAGCCAGATGCTGCAAATCAGGATGTAAACAGTGATATAATATTTTCATTATGAACTGATGAGTGAAATCTGTGAAATCTGCAATGCATCACATCACAATCCCACCACTCTAAGTACACATCCAAACACATATAGATATGTAAAAACATATAAGTATAAATATTGAAGACACTCAGAGTTAGCCGTTGAAAAGTCTGATGGCTACAGGCAAACTGTACGACACCTAACTCAGAATGTAAATTAAATCAGATCACATCCTGAGGTAGAGTAATTAAAGACAGGAAATCATCTAAAGTAAACGTCTTTGATTGGAATTACGCTGTTAACTTTATTTGTTGTGAAGGATGTTTCAGCCTGCAGAGAGTCAGAAAAGTTGGATTGCTTGTGTTAGTGACGCCACTCTGATTAGACGGTTATCCAGGGACAGAACTGTCATTACCATCTGTTTGCAGAGTCACACTATCGACTCACGAGAAAATCCGAAGCTCACCGCACCGAACGTATTCCGTAAAGAGTGCGTGTTCATTGTGTTGCTCTGTGTGTGTGGGTGGGTGAAGCTCAGGTGTTGTTGGCCATGCTTCTTGCCAGGGGAATAACCGATGCCAACGCAGTGAACAAAAGAGGAAAGGGAAAATGAAAACACACGCATGAAAACACCTTCCTCCAATTTGCATAAATGTGTCATCATCCTTCATTTCCACTTTGACTTTTGTCCCTTTTCCTCATTCTTGCCGCTCCTGTGTTGTTGATTTGCTTCAGTGCAGCTTCATTTGTTTGGTGTGGGTACTATACATGCATGACTGTGTTGTCATGTGTAAGGTGTCATGATGAGATTTGTGTGTGTGTGTGTGTGTGTGTGTGTGTGTGTGTGTGTGTGTGTGTGTGTGTGTGTGTGTGTGTGTGTGTGTGTCTGCTAAGTGAAATCAGGGTTAATTACTGTTGCTCAGTCAGGTGTGACGGGGGAATCTGGAGAGAGATGCTGCTCATATTACAGCCTGTGCGCTCCGTACGTCTCTGTCACATACGTGTTCATTCATGCATGGAAAGCCTCCGTAACCCAGGCCTGTTGGCCAACTCAACACATGATGCTACTCTTTTAGATTTGAAGACAAACTAGCATCTGCTGGCTGAATGTGCCCTTTCACTCATAATTTTTCACAAAACGCCATAATTATATGACAAAACTCCTTGGAATAAGTGATGAAAAAAGGGAAATGATGTTGATACATCTTTTATGCACAGCCATCATGTTGGAGCTGCTCTGTTTTTCTAGACGTTTGTTCATATATTGTTTGGCTGAGGCGATGCACGTTTGGACAATTATCCCCTCAGACTTCTGGGTTTGTACCTGGAAAAAAATTTACAGGATATTGTTTTTATCACTGGGATCAGCTGATTAGCATCTCAAAAGCTAAGATAACACCTGAACTATGATCCCAGTTCAGAAAAGAGTGGAAAAATGGGCTTTAGTAGCTCAGTTTCCATTGACCATAAAATTGCGCAAATTGGAATTACGGTAATAATGTTGCTTATAGGATACATTTTGTACAGCATGTTTTGTAAATTGTGTTTTCTTATTACGTTTTTTATTTAATGGAAACACCGCGATTGCAAAATTGTGTTTTTTCAGCATCTGCAGAATATTGAGAAAGTTTTGTGTACACTTGTAATATAAAAGCAGCTGTGGGTGCAGACCAGAACCAAACCGCAGAAAAAGAAGGAGGAAGTTCAAGTCCATCAATCACAATGGGCAAGAATCATTTCCCCAGTGCCATCATCTCTTTTTACTATAAACCAGACAGATATTTATCTAAACTGCGCATGTTTGGATATAAAATCGTCTCACTCAGACACACGTCCTCTGGTGGTGAGTCAGGAGTTGGAATTGATCTGCAGCATTTGCTAAAAACAACTGAAACGCGTAAAATAAAATAACACCTCACCGTTTTTTGGCAATAAGTTGATATTTTTTGGTGTCTGG